TTTAAATAAATTATTGCAAGAATGCCTGTTCTCGACTTCTGTAGTATGTGTGTGTGGGCGTTTCACAGTTTTTGTGCAATTGAGGGTTGGAGACAGTAGCAACAGTTGTTGACGGGGAGGGAAAATGTGATATGGGGGTTAGAAGGAGGACACCCAACAGCAGTCTGGACAGAGGGCTGGAAAACCAAACTGTCCAGATCTGAGTGGAGGATCGACCCATTTACCTGAGGAGCATTTCAGGGGGTTAAAGGCCTCGCTCAAGGGCCCAACAGGGATTTGACTATTCCGTCAAGGTTCAAACTGGTGATCTCCTGACCAGAGAAACAGAAGCCTAACCCACTATGCCACACACAACCCCCCCAACATGTTCGATCATGGGTAGTGGGGGCTTTACAAACTGAAGCAGGCGGCAGGGTATGTCTCAGACTCAAGCTGGATCTAGCAGGACTGAAGAGAAACAGTGCAGATCACTTTATGCAGTCAGTCATGTGCAGAGAGGTGGCATTAGCTTACAGAGGCTGCCCTAGTTACAGCTTCTTCCTACTTACAGACTTATTTGAAGATGGGTTTAAACACATCTGTATTACTTTGGTATGGTTTTCAATTTAAGAACATTTCAGTTGTGTTGGAATGTGTACAAGTCTGACATTTTATTGTGCATTGTGGATAAATGAAATAAGATTAATATTTGAAGGTCAGAGGACTAAAAAGACAGTTGTGTTAGACTGCTGAGTTGAATGCTCCACTGAAAAGGACATAGAACATTAACAAAGGCATTTTTATCTCCCATTCTCCCGTGGATAAATGTACTCATGGACTGATGTCATTCTGCATGGTGAAACAAGAGGTTTGTGACAGAGGCCTGAGACTTAGCCGAGCAATGCTTGTATGAGTGTAAACATATGTAGGGTAGATCAGTTAAAGAAAATGCATATACATCCACAAAATATCTATGCAATCTATGTTCACTTTTTGCTGGATTTTCTTACCATTAAGTTGTTGCCAACCGAAGTCACTAGTATATGCCTTAGAAAGTCCATTGTTTAAACTTTCATACGGCATATTGGAATAAAAAAATTGTCTTCTGTAACTGTTTTCTCTGTCAACACAGGCTGGTGGATCTGTGTTGACAGGCTTGCCACCCAATCCATAGCTTGATCTGTTTAATTGTAGTCTTGGCTGGAGCGTGGGTGGGAGTCAGGGTCATTTCTGGGAAGCTGCAGACATTCAGGCCTGAACACCATTTACAATAAGTTTACTACACATCCAAATGTCCTGAAAGGATCTGCCTTAAAGTAATGTTCCTGCTGGAGTCCTACATTTATATGACAGGGAGCTTTTCATCCTTCTCAAGAGGCATCACAAAAATCTTGCTGGTACACTTATTATAAATAGCTGTGGTAGATGACAACAAAGAGGTTTGGCAGTACACAATGCTCTGCGTGTCAGTCCTGCTGAACCCTACGCATGCTGTGTTTCATTACTAAATGCCTTTAATATTTTGATGCTGACCAACTGTTTGGTTCTGACAGCTTCTAAGTCTGACATGCATTATGTGCCCTATTAAGGCAAGGACTATTTATCTGTACCAGATGAGCAAGCTAATTTACCACCTTTATGCATTTTACATTACAGTATAATATAATGAATTATCAAGCATGTAATCTGAGTAAAAAATAAATATATATATATATATAAAATCCTCAGATAATAAAAACGTGAGAAGTTGAAACTTCCAGGTTGTAAAGTTGCTACTTCCAGGCTTATTAAAGGTTTAGTAACAAGCTGTAACAGGGCCAGGAAGGTTCCAGAGCCTTTTTGTTTTACCAAACAGCATATACAGTATATCGGAAAATTATTATTTTTTTAAAACTGTACACTAACTAGATGTTAAGTGAGGAATTTATGTAAAGTGTTCAATAATGATGACATTATCGGGCAGAAAATAGCATGAAGAATCCTAAAGCTTTATTAATCAAAGAGCTCCATTCACATAAAGCGGAGCCTACTGCATTCTCGGAAGAGAGATATTCCCATAAAATTTTAAATGAACTGTTACTTGTCTGTAAAGAGGTCACAATGGATGTGTTCTTTTTTTTCTTTTTTCTTCCAGTAAATCAGAATTGAAAATAGCCTAACCACTAGGATTAGGTGTTCACAGGCTAGGCTTCCAAGGAAATTGTGCTATACTTGCCGTTTTTTTTTTTTTTTTTTGCTTCAGTGCCATTGCAATCATGCAGAGGGCATTTAATTGGAGACAAAGAAAAACCCACAGAGGGTGGTGAAGTGCTTTGTGGTTGAACCTGGATGATGTAAGGGGACATGTCACATCAGGATGAGCTACGCTACACTACACAGCACCTATACAATACGTGTTATGCGCAGCAGAATTTCACAACTGAAATACATTCATCACAATTGTAATGCAGCCTTACAATAAACACTGAAGTCTTTCAAGCATGGACATGCATATGCTTTTAGTGTATTATGCATTCTTGTTATTGAATCACAGAGTGATGGACTCCATGGGCACTTATGGTGTATTCCGTTTGAACTGGGAAGCTGGAATTTTCTAGGCAGAAATTTCAGACTTCCGACTCGGAAAGTCGGAGGAAGCTCGACAATAATGACCTCAAAATTCAAGATGGATGCTCTGTGCATCAACAGTAAAATGCTGTAGTAATTAAATGTTCACACTGCACTTCTGTCTTATTTGGGTCTCATTAAATCAGTCATACACACAGTTCTGTCCAACCTCTATCTATGGACATGTTGTCACGGCGTTTGTATGCACAAAATGCCACGCAATGCATTGTTATCAACTAGGATCACTAACAGTGACTAACAATGAACCTGGCTAGAATTGGCATTGCCAGTGGCTAACTTGGCTAGTTGTACTAGAACGTGGTTAACTCGGGTGTGATGTCATTCTAAGTCAAATGGAATGCAGAATTATGGGCGACTATGACAAGTAAAGCAATAACTGAATCCTCTTACTCTGTTCATGTTAGAAGTATAAAAATAGGAAAAAAATGTGCCAGTCTGTTAAAATAAATGCATAACTAAAGATAAATAAATTACAGTATAACAACTGCTAGATACATTGCTGTACATTGGGATATACAATATTGACAGCCTAACTGATTTTTAAAATATTTTGGAATCTAGAAATGTCACCTGTGAAGCTCACAGTGTCCAATTATATTTATTTTTTATATCATAGATAAGAAAATGTTTAATTATAAGCATCTAATAACCCCAATGTCTGAACTTGGGCCATTTTACCAATATAGTGTAACTTGTTGATGCCACTTTATTACAGCTACTGTATACACGCACAAATGGATGATTTATGAAAGGGTTATGAGTAGTGCAGCGAAGGGGTGTTACTTATATAATGCCAGTTAAGGTATCTGACATCCAAAATAGCAAGAATAAAAGCATGGCACCTTAAACCTACAACTGTACGATACAATGGAAAAGGACTTTTTATAGGACAGAACACTGTGGTTGATAAATCGCCTGTCTGTAGCCTGGTAACGAGAATCTTTCTAAAGCAACAACACAGTACAAATTTGATACATAAAGATTACCACCTTCCATTTGCATGTCACACAATAAAAAACTCAGGGTGTTAAAGGCAGTGTTCAAAGGGAGGTAGCATTCTTCTCTGTAAGCCATGTCTTGCCTCAACACAGAAAAATGATTAATCACTGGTGAGTTGTTTAAAGAAGAAATGATTTGTTACCACTAGAACCACGGTCAGGCAATGGAAATTAAATTCTGATAAACATGCTGCTTTCAGCGGTTGAAAGAGCAGCTCAGTTGTTAGTCAAAGAGGTGAAATGGCGTGCAGTGATCCCCTATCGCGGAAGTTACATTCCAGACCGATCAGCGATAGTTGAAAATCCACGATATAGAAAGACCATATAAACATTTTTTTTATAGTTTAAGCCTTAAATCGTAGGGCTTAGAACAAAATGAAAAGTTCACAAAAATTTTACGCACAACAATCGGACCGCAAGCAAGGTACGTGAGACGCAGAAAACTGTGATGCGTCGGGGAAAAATCCATGATATAGCAGGGGTGCGATAGCTGAACTGCGATATACTGTAGCAGGGGGAAATTGTGTTTTTGCCAACACAGAGTGAATTATACACTGGCCTATTCATATTTTATTTTGAAAAGTGATCATGGAACCAGTCCAGAATACACCGATTGCTTCCTAGAGGTTTGTTCAACTGACTTGACTACAGATAAGAAGTATCAATAAACTAATGAATCAGTCAGACTAATGTAGTCAGGGGGGATTGAGGGGGAAATCTAGGATGAGTGACAGGGAAACTAAAAAATTTGGAACATAACTAAATTGTTCTGGGTTGGGGGCCCAAAATGACATGGTTAAACTGGGCCCAAAATTTTCAGCAGCACCACTGGATGAGGCTTGCTTCCACTTTTTGCTAGATTACCAAGCAGAACCAATCCGTGTTTGAAATGTCTTTTTCAAATCCAGCTGTATAAGATGCAGTGGGAAGCAGTAGGACTTTTCCATACAAATTAGTACTAATGAAGCGCGTAAAGTTCAGAGTGATTTAGGTGCCCTTTTTTATTCACCTCACCAGTGTGCAACTTTCCAAATAATAACATCAGAAACTGAAAGGTTCACAGACGTATCTTACTGCACAATAACAGTCTGGACCCAATTAGCCTTGACCTGCATATGGGAAACAGACAGCTATATTTAGTTCAAAGAAGTATGAAGCAATTACATTCAATGGAAAAATAAACCCAGACACACTGAGAAACGGAAAAGGATATGAACCCTTTTCGGGATACTAGGCTGTGGTGTTACTCATCAGAGAAGTTTATATTACAGTTATTTCTTAATCGGAAAACATGTAACACAGGACTGATAAGTGTTACGGAAAATTATTACTGCCTTCTGGTCTTAGCAAGGTCATGCTGTTTGAAATATGACACATTTCTCATCTGTGATGTTTTGACACACAATACAATTAACACAAAATACTACTTGACGTAGTTGTGCATGGCATGGTGTCTCAACTGGGTAGCACTATTGCCTCGAATGTCCACTGTTGTGGGTTCAAATCCCGCCTCTGCTGTATGTGTATCTGGAGCGTGCATGGCCTGAACTCCTATGGGCCCCTGCTACAGTACAAGGACAGGCAGTGAGATGACTTAGTGTCTCTAAGTTGCCTGTGGAGTGTTCTGGCATCCCGTCCGGGCTGTACCACAGCTTCATGCCCTCTGCTTCCCTGGGAGAGACTCCTGGTCTGATGTTACCATGTTCAGGATAAGAAGTTTAAAGATGGATGGATGGATGTAAATGCAAATCTGGCCATATTTCTGAGTTTAATCCTTAACTATACATCTCACTCAAACCTCATTTGTCTCATGCAAATGTGTGGTTTGGTGTTGAAACGACAGACTATGTTCATATGGTTTTGGGGGTACATTGACCAAATCACTAACAATTGCTTTCACATTTTTATGTGAATCATTAATTAATATGTGAATCAATTCATTTTGAAATAACCTTCCATTAAGTTTTCGTGTGCCCGAACCAATGCATTGCCATGTGATTGTATTTTAATGTCTAGTTTTTCAGTTTGTCACTCGAAGTCATTTTTCTCCTGGAATTTCTAAACTCTTGGCCTGTTTACACCGATCTCATAATGTTCTTCAGTGTGTTCCATCCATCCACCCATCTATTCACCTATCTTCTAACTACTTGTCCTGGCCAGGATTACAGGGGTTGGGTATGGATTCTATTCTAGGCAGTACGGGGGGGGGGCATCCTGGAAACGATGCCAGTCCATCACAGGCGGCCCCAAAAACAGGCTAAGTATGTTATCAAGGACGAGTCCTGCTCATAAAACAAATGTGTAATGACAGTAATTAGTAATTACAGTCCAAATGATGCCCTTGCCGCTTTGGTTCACTGCTAATGTTGAGGCTACTCCAGAAAACAATTTCTCATACAGTCTGAACTGAATATCACTTGATCTGTATTCTTGTAAATGCAACTGTGGTGAAGATAAATAGTTTTCCTGAGAAAGATGCTGGCATTAAACACAAGAGCCATTGCAATTAATCAAGAAAAAAGTAACAGTTCAACCTCAGATCCTTTATGTATTTCATCAGACCAACTTTTTTCCCTTTGATGGTAACGGATTTTCCGTTCTTTCTATTCATATCTTTGGCAGATGTAATGTGCCTATAAAATCCCATAGAATCCTATACATCATCAACACTATTCTTAAACACTGCCAAATGCGTGAAACTAAATTTACAAGAAAAATCTATGCTAAATGCACAACATTGATTCAGTATGAATTGCTACTGTTCTTACAGAGTAAATAACAATATAAATTATTGTTATATATTTTATTACTGTTCATATTGTAATTAACCCTTTAAGTAATTTATAATTATGAACTGTATTGTTACACTTCTGTCTTAGTATTTAGCATTTAGATTTTAGTTGTGGATTTTGCATGTTCTCTCCATGTCCATAAAGACTTCCTTTACTTTCATTTCCTGCTAAAGTGAAAAACATCCATTTAGGCTGGTTAGCCTGAATTACCCGAAGTAGGTGACTGTGTATGTGAGTATGCACCCTTGATGGGGCTGCTATTTCCTCCAGAATTACTGCTGCAATGTGCTCTTTGCTTGTTTTCCTTACAACATTTTTGCAGATGTAAAACAATGGACAGGATCCTGTTTTTAAGAACATCGAGAAACCAATAAAATGTTGCCCATGTACACTTTCCATCTCATTTAATGTATAAAAACAAACAGCATGAAAATCAAACAGCTGGGCCAAAGTGATCAAATTCGCCAGTTATGCAGTGCTGGTTTATATACAGCTAATGATATATAGTTATTTGGAGGTATTTGGAGTTTGCTAAGAAGAAGCAAGGAAAGGTAGATTCACATTTTTAAGTAGGTATTCATGTTTTAATAGGAAAGTAGATGGGCTAGTTCCAGAAACTGTGAGCAGGGAGATGGGGCATTTAAGGTGACAGGACTACCTGTCTGTGGTTAGGCTGTGTTAGGGCATGGGGGGCGAAGCTACATGGCTCATGTGTGCTGGCAAAGGGGGCCAGTCACCCCCAGCTTCTTGACTGTGTGTGACGGGCATCGGCAGTAGAGAGTGAGGCTATTTGGCAGCCGGCTGAGGCGACGCTGCTTGGCCTGCAGGAGGGTAAAAGGCAGGGGGACTGAGAGCCCTTCCAGTTATCTTTGGCTGGACTCTTGCTCCAGATGTAAGGTCAGAGTACGGTCACTGGCTCAGGCCCAGTCTGAAGCCTGTGAAAACTACAAAAAAAGAGAAGTTGGTGTGCGTGTTGACAGAACTGATTTGGACAACTTTGGGAGGGACCTTCACAGCCCTTGTTTGCTTTCACGCAGCCATTTGTTCGGCTTCACGTGGGGCCCAGATGTTTTTTTCTCTCGGTAATCTGGGATTAGTTAGGAAGCTGAAGAATGGATTATGACATAGCTATTATTCTCATGTTAAATATAATTAAATATGACTTTTCACCAACTCAAAATTTAAAAAACTGTGTTTTAGGTTTAATGACTCTAAAGGTCTACCATTCATTAATTAAGAAGAATGACACACGATGATTTAATGGTATATTTATATACTGTATTTGAATGCCAAATTAGTGGAAATTAATATATATATATATACACACACACACACACACACACTATGTAGTATCATTTTAGTGGGTGGTTCTGTACCTTCTTCTGAATTTTTCATATCGATGGTGTCTAATGCTGATCTTGGAAAGGTCCAATCTTGACATTGATTACAGAACATTTTCGAACCTTCGGTTATGTGAATTAGCTTAAATTTTTGGCAACATGTCCTTTTAATGCCCTTAGGGGAAAAGAACAAAAATTAAAACCGTTGAGGTCGGCTTTCATGGTCTGTTGCTATTGCGGTGGCTCTAAACACATAGGGAATCTGACGCGATAGTGAACACCTTGAACACATACATGACATTCTGATCCTTCCTCACGCCTGGTTTGGTTCCTTCTTACAAAACCTCACATTTGAGGGAAAAAAGATAAAAGTTCCCGACAAGCACAAAACGCATGACAATTACTCTTCCAGTAGCACAGTGTTCCACAACCCGGTCCTCAGGGAACCACAGTCGTCTATGTTTTTGCTCCCTCTGAGCTCCTTGCCTGGCAGTCCACATTTAGAGAGCTGGGAGGGAGCAAAACTGTTGACTGTTTATGGGTCCTTGAGGACTGCATTGGGAAACACTGCAGCAGCAGATTGCTTATCATTTCAGCATCTTCCAGAGGTGATGATCCCTTAGCTAAAAGGGGACTCACCTCTTATGAAAACAGAGATTAGTAGGGCCCATGTCAAGTTTTTATTTGACGTGCAGCACAAAGGCCCAGACAGCTGCTTGAGTAGAGACCAGGATTATGGCTACACTCTCCTGATTTGCTCTTTTGTTGTTGCTTGGTGGTGATCTGGGTTGATCCCATTTTGGACATAGGGTCAGCAATACACACATCAATACACACAATCATTATGTTCACAACCTGCCAGAATTCTCAGATCCAGTTGCTTCTTGGATGTGAGAGAATGTTATTAAAATGCTGACGCCTGTGGAACAGGAATTCTATGAGACAATACATACATGGATTTTATTTATTTAGCAGATGGTTTTCTCCAAAATGGCATAGAACTGAGAAAGGAGTGACTGGGGAGGAGGGCCCAGCACTGAGATCACCCTGCCAACCACAGGATTTGAACCTTCTGATCTCTGGAGAAGCATCCGAACCTGATGAGCCACATATGTGAATGTTGGCCTGGGCACAATGCCACAATGACAAGTTTGTTGTGCGTTGGAAGGACGGTGGGGTGGTGTTCAGTAGGTTGGGGATCTGTGCCCATCTCTGGGAGGTTGTGGGTTCAGGTCCTCTGAGTAATCCTATCACCGCTGAACCCTTGAGCAAGGCCCTTGACCCCAAGTGCTCCACGGGTGTTGGATGAAATTTGACCCTGTATGCTAACCCCAAGCCGTCTTTAATTATACGTTGCTTTGGATAAAAGTGTCTGCGACATCATGTAGCAGGAGAGGGGGTGATGAAAATACAGAACATAACTTAAAAAGAAAGAAACAAACAAATGCATAAACAAATAAACAAACAATGAGTGAATGAAATAAACACACTTGACTCACAAAATGGTGAAAGCTCTGATACATGCAAAGACAACTTCCAGTGAAGAAAAATGGCAGAGATGGCTTGGGTTGCATTTGCATGTTGGCCTGTTCACATCGTGTTACTTGATACACACCTCTGTAACATTAGCAGTGATCTCACTGTGATTTGCTGTGCTTATTATTAAAGGGAAAGCATTAAAGGTGTGTCAGAAGGATAGGTCCATTCTTCGAATTCCTCCATGAATAAGCTAAATCATCTTATGTCATAGTTCAGATTATGCAATGAAAGCGAAATATTATTTCATCAAACGGACACTTGGGAATTTTTGTAAAAATCGCAAGCCAAACTCTCTACAGAAGCTTGATTTGAGGAAAACGACTTGGCCATGGGATTTAACGGGATGTTTCAGTTTTAACTGGTTCAAACTGGTTTTTGGAGTGGCTTTTGCACACACAGAGGCCCAGTCAGGCCAGAGGCTGAGGCGTGTACTGAAATCTGCTGATGCTGACTTGAATGGTAAGAGACAGTCCATCATTACTGAGGTCACACAGTAATTACTTGTCATGATCCACCTGCAGCTATTTAGGAACCACCCTTTCTCAGTAATATGTCAAAGTTAAAGACATCGTGATAGAGAAGCCTTACCCAGTGCACACTGCGACACAGTGCTGTCGGCCGCTTCAGGCTGTGACATATAGAGCTGTGATTCCAGTGAGCTCAGCACAGGTGTATGGAGGTGCAGCAGAGAGGCACAAGGTAACCAAGAGAAACACATACCTGTAAGGCTGAATGGAAAGGGAGAGCATAAAGGACAATTCACTTTACTAGCAATGCAATGTGAGATTTCACAATATAGTTCACAGCTTTCTTTGGTCTAATATTCAAAATCTTTACTGTCATTCACCATTAATATTGTATTAATTTACCAGTAATATGAATAAGTAGTCAGTCCATGCATCCATCCTCTCAGGGTAGTTGGGCATCCATCCTCTAGTTCAGCTTCTTTGAATTATGTATTGCTCTTGCATTTGGTTACAGTTCCATTTCCTCAGCTACCGCATTACATTCATTTAAATTATGCCCGCAAATGACTATGTCTCACCCTCTCCAAAGACTGCACACTAAGGAACACCCTTCGAAGGAACACCCTTCGAAGGAACACCCTTCGAAGGAACACCCTTCAAAGGAACACCCTTCAAAGGAACACCCTTCAGGCTGTCAATAAGGCATCTGGTTCATACCATAAAAAAAAGAGAAAAAAACCCTTGGCCTACAGCCTCAATATCGGAAATGGGAAAGGACATATTTTCACCCTTGATTTCTCATTGATCTTTGGTGCATTGGGAGCTCCACATTTTTCAATTTTAGCCATCAGTGTGACTTAGTGCACTCTTTGTATAACCATTGTTGTTGTGGTTGAAAAGCCATAGTTACTGTTGCCATGGTGGTTTCTTGTCTAACAAATATGAGTAATACTAGGAATGACGGTGCCCGTCGGATCCTAATCATTTTCGTTTTTGCTTGCGTTTTGTGATATCTTGATATCTGCATTGCCACACCCTGCCTGGTTGCTCTGGCAACAGCAACAATAGTTTCATAAAGGAGTTGCAAAAAACACACCAAAAAAGAAAAAAATGCTGTGCTACATAGAGCAGCAGCATCAAGAGGGATATTGGCGAATTTAGCCGTAATAGCACCGAAACCCAAATAACCGCATAGGTTTTGTAATCTTAAAATAGCCTTGCTTGTTGCTTAAAGAAGTCTTATTCATCCAATGATATGTGATATTATCAGTTCCATATAAAAGCTGGCAGCATTCATAGTCAGTGAGCGGTTTCACACATTTCCAATAATATGTAGTACGCAGAAATCAGCTTGTTTCTCTAGCAAAGCAAGAATTTCGACATAACTCATTAGTCCGGAATGCAGACAAAGAATTTGTTTTTGTATACAGTCTGAAAGAGTTTATAAGGCCACCGACCTTATAGGCATGATATTGTGATGTACCTGTGAGAACCTTGAAGGATGAGATGGCTGGCAGAACCTTGATGATACGGCACAGAATGCTTTTTCTGGATGGAGTTTTGGGCTGTGACAGAGCATACACAATACAGAGGGAACACTAAATAAACCTGTTAGCAAGGAAGATTCAGGGTCATGTGTCTGTGCCAGAGAACCAGAACAAATGGAGTCAGGAGTTAAGATCTGGTTAGGTTTAATGGGACGAGAAAGACTAGGTTTGTGCAGTTTGTCATATATGAGAGACAGGTGGAGTCAATTGTCAAAAACAACTCAGGTCACCTGATACTTCCCCCAATGGCCACACCCACTTTCTCACAGTACCTTCAGTAAAAAAAATGCAGCCTTGTTTACACGTCCCAATGCAGAAGTCCACTTTGCTACTTTTCACATCTGCCTTTCCTATAGGTAGCATATCCATCTTTTGTACTTTATCGAATTACCATTTTGATTTATGGACACCATATAGAGGGCTCCATGGGAATGGGGGAAAAATATTCCTGTGGAGACAGCGGGAATGGAGATGATCTTTATGGTATGTCCATGGGGATGGTAATAAAATGTATGGTAATACTAATCAAATTGCTCAGATACATATTCTTATATATGCTATAATAATTGTAAGTCCTTTTGTTCTGTTAAATTATTTGTTCTCACCCCAACACCACCTGGCCGCAGTGCAAATTTAATAATTCCGATATTTAAAGGCAAATATGTACGTTTAATTTTACACTATACTGTTGGCGTGTTGGTGAACTCAGATTTTGGTGCATATGGGGACGGTTTTTGCAGGTACTGTATGGGGTGTGGACGGTTTAGATGTTAATAGGGACAGCAAGGGCTGGGGGCAGATCTAGCTCTCTGCACCAAAAACAGTGGAGGGACATTGAAATATACCTCATTCATAGGGCAATAAAGTATTTGAGAGGTCAAATATAAATATTATTGCATAAAGATACACTTGGAGTATGTATAGCCTTGGGGCAAGACCAGTTTGTCCTCCTGCTGGCTACTGCACTGACCGCAAACTCAATTGTGTTGGGAAACACCTGCTGTGACGAGCAAATTAAGGACAACAGTGACTCCCCTGGCAAACAAAGGGATTACAATAATACGAGTAGACAGTCAGATTGTGCCTAAAAGGAAAGTGAAAAATTAAATCTGAAACTGTGCGCTGAACATAACTACCCACCGACCCACCACGCCGCCTTGCTTAACTGCTATATTAATGTAGGCCTAATTCAAACATAAAATGTAAACACGCCTTTTACTTGTGAGACAGTTTAGACCTAATCAGCCAGTTATTAATTATGAAAACTTATACCCAGGGGAGCCATGGGAAGGGGGAGTTAGGATGATTCCAAGGGCCCCTGAATGGAATATAACTGGATTGGTCTGGGTTGGGGTCACAATATGATATACTTCCATGGGGCCTAAATTATCTAACTACATCCCTGCTTATACAGACATACTGAGTGTAAGGATACACTGTAGGGCCATTGCTTAAGGATTGATTTCTCACAGTTGAAAGCAGGGGAGACTAAGCCTGAGCGAATGACCCAATAAACCACAACTTGTATTTCCAATGATATACTGGCATATAGGAAACTGGCACAGAAAATATTAAGGGCAAATGGTTGATCTGTCAAAGACAGATATTAGCATAAATAAGGTCAGGACAACTGGCACGTTAATAATGTAAAAAACTCTTATTACGGTACCTACCTATGAAACCATCACATATTAATTAAATTAGTTTGCAAATATATTGTCATCAGTTTATTATGTAATACACAAATGGGCAACATGACTTGATCCAGGAAAAAAATCCATTCACACATAGAGAGTTATCTAACGGAAGCTGCAGTTTATTCCTCTGTTCCTTTTCGCAGGAAACACAATCTGACACCCCACCCTTCCACTTCCTCTAACAGGGCAGCACTCTAAGCTGGTCACCTTGGACAACCAATGCAGAGGCTTTCACAGTGACATTTCTAAAACAGATATAGAAGAAAGTTTGCTTATCTGAAGACAGTCTTCCGGATTTAGGTTCTTCTAGGGCAGCTAGAGAATCATTGTGAAAATTGTATTATTTCACTATGAGAGTAAGTGTAATTACACTGAAATTAGTCACCATAAAAAAATAAAAAAATCTAATGAATAAGGATTTGTAAGATGCAGTGGTAACACTATCTTTCAAATGCCATGTCTATCACATGTCTATGAACACATTCCTAACATATAATAATGTATTCAAAAAATATTATAAAAATGGCCATACAGTACATGTTTATAGAAAGGCATAACACATTATAGCCATGTTTATTATGCATTATGAACGCTGTATGTAGCTTTCATCTATAATGCACTGTAGATACCTTCATAATGCAGTACAAAGCTTCCTTAATTTCTATATTTACCACCATAATGCATCATGAAAGTATCTATAGTACATTATATATGACAGCTTCATTGGAGCTTATGAAGTATTATAATCAACAATATAATGCCCTATGACTGAAAATAGAAGATGATCTAATGCTGTATTCATTTATAAAGGCCTACTGATATATAAAGCATTAAATATGGCAGCTTCAAAGTGTTACCGATTAAGGTTTACATGGCTGTTGGGTGCAGGTTTGTGTAATTTGCTTGCTAAAATGTAATGTGTTTCCCTTTATTGGCAAGCAGAATTCTGATTCCCACTGGCCTGGGCAGACTCTGCAACAGACAGTTACAGCCAACTGTGGGCCAGATTAACGCCCCACGTCCTGGGCAGAGCAGGCCGGGGCTCAGGAAGGATCCTTGTCAGAGCTGTGGATGGGCTCCATCCTCTGACGGTAAAGCATGACGATCGCTTTGCAGCCACTCCCCAATACAGGGGGGTACGACTGGAAAACTCCGACTGGCCGATTTGCTGCAAGTGCACCTGAGATCAGTTACAGTGACTTCCTGCGTCATAGAGGGTCCTGTTGGGAATGGGCCAGTGCAGAAAAAGCATTCAGACACCTACTGTATTGCTGTGAATATCTAACCAAAACAGAGCCTCACCGAGATTCTAATACACAACAATTGCAGGATTAATTCTGGAAGCTTGCTAGGCTAACCTTTATGATCAGAGAAAACGGCTCAGTTGGCAAAAAAGACTCAGCTTTGGTTTTGTAGTGTAGAATCAATAGTGGATTCAAGATGGGTAATACTGTACAAGACAAAACATACAGTCAGGAAAAAAAAGAGCATAGAAGTAATGCCATGCTCTTAAACAATTAAAATGAGAAATAATTCTGTGGTTTCCTATGTTTCCCAAAAGAATATTGCTGGCTCGGGTTCTGTCTTTGTGCCAAGTTCAAGTTAACCTAACTTTCCCAAATAAAGAATGCTGTAGGTTATGTTACATAACACGCAAGCTATAAAAAGCTATAAAAGTATGCCTTTTGTAAAACAATCTGCTAATAAACTAATTACCCCTCATTAGAAAAAGAAACGTTGGCAGAATGATGTGGCCTTAGGTAGGGTTATGCAGGACTTATCTGCTCCCAGCTTAATCGCAGGTTCATTCCCCCCATAAATAAGACACTTATGAAACAATCCATTTCACTGGAATCAAGATTATTAGGAAGCATGTATGACTGTAGGTTCTGCCACAGGCGGAAATTCAAATGCTCCTTAAATCCTAATGCTTACAATGGTAACGGAGTGCTTAACAAATATCTGTCCAACCAGCCAATCAGGCACTTAGCCACGTAATAAAATAATGGGTTTGAATCCCCCCCAAAAATGTGTTTTTTCCAGACCAGACATGGAGCCAGGTAGTAAAATTGCAGAATTGAATCTCTCCTGAAATTTGTTTCCTCCCCCTGGCTAACAAAAGTTAGGCCCCCAGCACCCCCAGGGCAGGAAAATTGCAAGGTTGCTGGACCCCCACTAAATTTTATTTCTGGCTGTGGGCCTGCACTCATTCATACTACTTATCAAGTAAGGCATTGTGGGACCTCAATGACACGTGTTTGTTTTTAATACAAAAGATGATGCAGATAGCTTCCTGCTTTCTGAATA